GAGGATGGTAAAGATTAAACAGCAGTAGATGTTCACTAAAACAGCATCCAAAAAAAAAAAAAAGACATTCAGACACACTTCAAAGCAGATATTTATGAAGAAAATCTGACATTTGCAGACAAATATGGTCTAACAGCAGAACTTGACTTATGTATTCTCATGGCCGGTAGCATTGATTTTCATGTTTATTCTGACCTCTTCTTTCTCGTCTGGAGGGCTGAATGTGACAGGTGGATGAAAAGACTTCTTCATGTGCTCGCCACACAGCTAGAAGTGTAGCGAGCAGCGCATCCCAGAACCCTCCATGTACTCCTCTCTTCATTTTTTACGATACTCTGGTTATTTAATTGATATGACGGAGTCTGTTAGAAAGATTCTCCTGGTCCTTTTTCATTACAGACATTTTGACGTGTCATATAGGTGTAATTAATAACGTTAATCACGCCTGTGTTCCGTCTAGGTGGGCATGTTCCAAGGATGTGGTGTTGTGCATACTGTGTTGTGAGTCACTGAGAGCGTTTAATGTATCACAGCCATCATTAATGCTGGTAATTATACCTGAGCTTTTCCTACTATGAAAAACAAAATGTCTGCAGTGAAAATAAATGGATATATTTTGAATTTAAACCTTATTTAATCATCTATTCATGTATTAACAACATCAATGCCAGCTATTGAATGTTTTAGTTGATGTATACAGCTTCCAAAAACAAGTCTGAAAACTCTTCCCAGCGACATATTTCCTTCAACACCACCTCAGTAGGTTCCTTTTAACTGCACCCAACTTTACTCACAGAGCTTTGCTTTCTACTTCTTTATGATTTTATTTTTACACAAGCCTTTCAACTGTTTCACGAGTAACCAATAAACTATTTCATACTTGTTTTTGCACGTACACTGCAGCAGCTACCTATAAAGCTGATCACACAGTCTTACAGTAGGTGGGCTTCTATGGATCCCTGGTGTGCACATATTCTCTCCTGGTGCTGTGAGGTACTTCTGCTCGAAAAAATAATACCTCTGATCTGGCTGTCTGGAAATAACAGTTTCCAGTAGCAGCCTAAAAGTAACACTTTTATCAGTTTCTAAGTCAGAAACAAAACAAAGCGTGTTGGGAGACTTGTATACAGACTGCAAGTACAAAGCAAGCATTTACAGAACGGTAAAAACAACAGAGTGCACAGGGTTATGTCGGGTGGCCGGGGATACATTAGGACTATTTGGTATTTCTGTGGACGACATGATGTGGTTGGATACTAAAGCACTTTCGGCAGTGGGGCGGAGATGAAACCTGCCTGGCTGAATCATCACTGCAATTATCAGCTACAATAAAAAGACTCCTTTCTTTGAGAAAGAGTCAAGGGTACAAGTCTGTGTACAAGGGATTTTAGAAGGGTAAAATTACATTTGGCAAAAAATAATAGCTCTTTTGTTTTTTGTTTTTTTGCTTTGTAATCTAATATCTTGTGTAATCAGCGGTTAGATGTTGATTATTTATTATATTTTTCATTCATGATAGAAGGTGACATTGAAAGAATGACACCCTCCACTTAAAATCCTGTGGAAGCTGTGCCGGGTTGATGTGTTTGGTAATTAGGTTCAGCTACTGATGGGTTTATCATTTTCCATTCAGGCTAATGCTTTTTGTATTTTTGTATTCATTTGGGAATACAGTGGATTTAATCAGTTTTTTTGCTCAGTGTGATGACTCATTCATTTGGTCAGCGCTGTAAAAGAAACCTTCAGTGAAAGACACCACCGATGAAACGTATCATGTCTCCTTCAAAACTGTACAAATCCAAGGTGGAAAAAGAAATGATGGCAGCACTCATTGCCCACATAGCTATTTCTAAATGTACTAACGCATTAATAAAAAACACTTATGAGTCCATTTTGCAAACATCATGTAAACTGTTTTGTAAGACGCTGACAGTGTGCTTGTATCATGAAAGTTCAAATAGTAGTTTTTAAATACCACATTCAACATAACAAGAACAGGGTGTATTGTTTTCTCAGTGGCCTCTCTGCACCACCACCTCCACCCTGTCCATTAGCTGCGGTACTTTCTCATATTTTTCTTCTGTTTTTCTCTCTCTCTTTTTTTTTGTTCCACAATTACCAGATAGCCTGTTGTTATTGCATTTGACCAGTATTTTTAATATCGTGTCTGAAACACAGATGCAGTCAGGGAAAATTTCTAAGTTGTGCTGTTTCTGTGGAGAGTGTTACAACAGATTCCCCTGCAATCTAGAGCAGTGTTTTTATTATCATAAGCAGTGTATTTCATAAATGAAGCGATGTAGAAGAGGCTCTGAATTATTACGCTGTGTATGCAACGGAATATGTGTGCATACCAACTAGTAAAAGTGCAGATATTGTAATAAAAGAGCGAGTGCAGTGGATATTAAAATTAGATAGTAAAGTCAGAACACAAGGTGAAGTTCAGTATTAATCTCTGAATAAAATAACAACGGCAAGCAATTACAAAAGAAGCACGGCTAACAAAATGATAAAAACACCGATGATTTATTGTAATGATGCGAGTGCAACTTAGCAACAGAGATATGTGCAGCCAGAGGCAGTCTTCAAAGAACGAAATGTAATCACCAGCCTCGTTCCAGGACTGTCTCATCCACAGTCCCAGCGGCTCCAGCAGAAAGGCTCTGGGAAGCAGCTACAGCTGAATGGAGGTGGGGCAGTTATATTTGCAGCTTCCTGAATGGGACTGTGTCATTACAAGGAAAAGTCCCATCATGGTGTGACTCCAAAAATATACCACTCAGCAGGCAAAGATGAGTTACTCAGGTATACAGACTCTTTTGGCTATAGAAATAGATGCATACTTTTCACTGACAGCAGCCCAAAAGACCAAAGTTGCAACACTGACCATCAGTCAAATGTTTTTTTCTTCTTCTTCTTCTCTGGAATAACACAAGCCAACTCTACAACATTGTAGCTCAACCCCTGCTTTTTCCCCTACACATTTCAAATTGATAACTTTTTTTGTGTGGTTGCAGTTGTTGCCACGAGGCTGCTCCTGTGTATTTGTGCTGAGACATAAAGAAATACAAGCTGTGGATAAACATGTCTAGACTTTGAGAAGCAGCAGTGGTCTGAAAATACAGGTGCTACAGACAGAGCATGAAGCGGAAACTGCAGGAAAACAACAGAAAGAAGTGAAGTTTGTGGTAAGTTCTGAGTCTGATTTGATCCATGATGTAAACACACACACAGGCACAAATGCAAGCTACACAGCTAACATCTAGTAGTTGTTTGTACTGCTGGAAGTATCATGGTACAACGTAAGACATTACTGTAATTCCAGTACTTTTAGTGGCAACAAGGTATCTGACTAATTCCCTTTTCAAATAAATAAGATAATTACAATGACTATAATTTAAGTTAGATTGTTGCTTGTTACTTTTGGGTGAAAATTATATGGACAACTACGGCGGCCGAATGAACTAGATGTACACAAACGAGCTGCATATACATAAATGTGTGACATAATCACGAAAACACGCTGCAAAAAGAAAACGCTGCAAACACGGAAACGCGCTGCAAAAGGAAAACGCTGCATAAATGAAACCAAATGCAAAAAGAAAACGCTGCATTTCCAGTCACACGATGGAAGTGCCACAGGCCTCTAGGGGCAGTAGTGAGCCTATTACATGCTATTGTAAGAAAAGGCAAAAACTAATTCCAAAGCTGCTGTT